ATTAACTTGCCAAGACGTCCCAATTCTTCTGGCTTTTGGGGTGACCTTCTTGGTGGGGGCTGGGTCAGAAGGGGATCAATTACATCAAGTAACAAATGAACTGATGGCATGTTTTTGATAGCTGGAAAAAATACGGAAGACAAAACTGTTTAGTTATATTTTTCTGAAAACGGAAAATACTGACAACTTACTTTTTAAAGCTAGCGTTCTATAGGTGGGTACTTGAGAATCAGTGATGTAGAAAAATATCAGCAAGCCAAAGAAAACCCATTAAGAATATAAACAGGAGTGCGGACTGGGGCCGGCTTCCAAAGCCACAGGCTGTGTCAAACTGGCCTGACCATGATCAGAAAATTAAAGCAAATGCTTAATCTGCAAGAAGCCCAAACAACTCTTTAGAATGAACTTTCAGTGAGGTAACTGCCTCATGGAGTTAAAACCCTCAGCATCCCCGTACGCAGCCACCTACATTAGGTGGGTGCCCGCTCTCAAATTGCTTCTGTAAATAAAATAAACATGCCTGTCAAAACTACAAGAACTAGCTTATAGGAATTTAAAATGCTTTGAAGATACTAACAAAATTTAAAGGGTACATAGTTCTTGATCTGACAAACTAAGATTCTGAGAACCTACTTGTAGAGGTATTATAGCAGGTTCAAAAAAAAAGAAAAGGTAGTGCTTTTAACAGAGAACCAGCTAAGGTTCTATTGTAACTCGATCAAATCAATCATGAAAAATCTGTACTGCAGTGTTGGGTATCTACTGCAAGGAGTGAATAAATCTTTATGTGCTGACAGAAATGTGAGCAGATAGTGGGTCCTGAAGAAATTCCAGGTTCTCAGTGTCCTGAACAGAGAATTGGATGACAATGAAAAGGCAGTGGGATGTGTAGTTACTGAAGGTAGAAAAGAAGTACGCTGTACAAGGAGCAGAGGACTGGTGAACAGACTCCGATCAGCCATGAGGATAAGGGAAGGGGTCTTTTCTATCTGGAATACCTGGATTGGCTCCTCCCCCAACTTGGGCACCACAGTTGTCCTACCAAAAACGTAACTGGCCTAGTGCCAGGTTTAAACTGTCCTATGGAAGACTAGCATGGTTTCACACCAGATGTAAATGACCCGAAAAGAGCACTTTTCTGATTGGTTCTGAGCCCAATGCTCAGGGGCTGCAGCCACCTGAGATCCTGCATTCTGCGCATCTGCCCTGGGCCTCAGACTGGCAGATCCACCCCAGCCCTAATCTCCTACCCAAGATGTTTAGTATCATTTCTGAATGTATGGTCGTCTACAGTACAAAAACAAATGGACAACTAGAGATCAATTAATTAAGTTAATATGGATTTCAGGATGTTTCACTTATTTCACTTTCTACAGTTTAACTTAGTTGGCCATCTCTCTGTTGCTACCTTCATCATGCTTTACCCCGGAAGCCTCTCGCAGGCATTTATAATCAATCCCCCGTACTGCAGTGGCCTAGCTCTCCACATTCTCTCTCTGCACTCGGAGAAAGTTTACTCGTTTTGTGTCCCCTACAACACTCAACATAACAGATGCCCAACAAATGCTTACTGCATTAATGTGGCTTTCCCCCCTGTAATTCAAGATGGATAACACTGCCAAGGATTTAGGAGACCAAGATCACTATTTTATTTTCAAAATTTTATTTACACGGAATTTTCAGCCTATTTCATCTTAATTTTATCAGAAGATAAAAATCCCAAGGTTTAAAATCAGATATTTTATATCACAAAAATTATTCCTCAGTTTTGAGGAAAATATTTCAATTCTATAAACACTGATATCTACAATATTTGCATATATTTATATTATACACACATGGCATATTTAAGTGTACAAAATAGTTTAAATCATACTTTGTTACAGCATACTTTAAAATTCAAATTAATGAAAAAAAACCCCACACACAGGTAACAGGAAAAATAATAGCAAGAAGTTTAATAATAGTCATGCAATATGTCTAGTAAACTTCAGAGAGCAAATACTGTACAATCCATAAACTTAAAGATGTGACCAATTATTCAAATCACGCTAGAATCTAAATGCAAATCTGTAATTCACAGGCCGAGTGTTTTGTGGTAACCTCTGAAACAGGAACAGAAAACGTGGATGAACATAATCGATTCTGTAGTTCCTGAGATACTTATACTTGGAAACTTCCAAGAAAGCAGATCAGGCATTCCCCCCTGAAATTAAAGGTCTTATGAACATTTTCAGACACTAAAAGAAGAAAATGAGTAACTCAGGTATTGTGAGTTGATTTTACCTTCTCAAATTTAATTCCAGATAACCCTTGGTACAGTGCAGTTTCTCTGGAGTTTTTGTACTTTCTCCTGATTTAGAGGGGCCATGCTTATTACCTCCCTGTTCCATGGAGGATTTAAGGTGGTCCGGCAGGTGAGATTCAGAAAATATCCGAAAGCACAATTACAGGTTAAATAAAAAGCAGAGGAAACAATTTGGGAGATAAGCACACACAAAAAAAATTTAAGAAAAGGTCAGGAAATTATAGTGTTACTATTTTCTCAGTGATTTCCTGGATGCATCAGAAACTACGTTATTGGTAAGAAAATTACAAAAGTACTGGCAAACTGGAGGTGAAGAACAAATTCCTTCAAGTTTTTGCTAATTCTGATGAAGCACGATTATAAAAATGTGTGTGCTTTTTTTGTGCTTCAGGCAAGTTTTCACTGTAACTAGTAAAATCTGGTGTGATGCTAGATTTAGTCTCTGGCTATTACTGATGTAGGTGAAAAAAAAATCTGGGTTCCCTGCTTCAACTCTGAGAAATCCATGCATCCGTGGATACCTGCTGCTGACAGAAGGGTGTCGGCTCCTTCCTGGGTGAATGGTGAAGCGCTACCCCAAAGGCCTGCCGAAGGCATCTGCCCCACCAGCTCCCCTTGTGTGAATCCAGCAGGACGAGTGGAAGGTGAGCTGAAGCACAGGAGGCTTGCTCAGGCTGGCACACTGAGGCCACAGAGTCCTGACCTCACCCCCTCCTGGGCTCGGGAGAGGGCAGAGAGGCATTCTGGGAGAAGTGAAAGGTAGCATTAAATAGCTTGAGGGAAACAGGCATGGGTCTGTTCACCTCTGTCCTGTAGGCCTAGCTTTCAACAAGCAGTAGGAAGATCTTGTACCCACAGGATGAGTTAGGCAGAGGGAGTGAGGGTGCAGGAAAGGCTTGGTGAAGTGGGGAGAAAAGGCAGCAGAACACTCCCTAGCAAGAGCAGCACTAAAGTTCTAGATGAAGGACCAGAACAGAGACGTCCACCTGATGACTAAAACTGACCACTGCCTTTCTTTCTGTTTCTTTTTCTAAGGTGAGTGGTCCCAAGTTCCCTGCGGTTCCGGGCAGGGTAAGAGGAATGAAGTTCAAGTCTACAGGCCTGTAACAGTGGGTCCTGCAGAGCTTATGGAAGGGACGGCAGCAACAGCCAGACCAAGCTCGACTCTGGCAGTGTGTGGCAGTGGGGCCAAGGAGCGAGCAGGGACGGTGCCCTTCCAGTGACACTGGGCAATCTACCCAGTGGGCACTGTAAAAGCCCTTTGGGGGGGCAATACTGGGGATTAAGCGCTGGGCCTTCACGTTAGCTACATCCTCAGTTTCTTTTTGGCACGGGGACATAGGGTCACCCAAGTTGCTAAACTGCATATGAACTTGAAGCCCTCCTACCTCAGCCTCCCAAGTACTGGTATGGTACAGGTGTGTGCCATTATGGCCAGCACAAATTTAACTTCATGAGAAAAATATGGAATGTCAGCATTTGGGAGGCTGAGACAGGAGGACTGCTCCAAGTTCAAGGCCAGCTTGGGCAACACAGTGGGTTCAAGGGCAGCCTGAACTACAAAGGGAGACCATTTCTGGGGGGGAAAAAAAGGACTAGAGAAACTGGTTCAAGGCTAACCAATGGAAGGAGGAAGAGTCTGAGACTGAAACTGTTAAGTCTCGTATCACGGATTTTTAAAATATTACTTTGGAATTTGCTTTTAATGAAAACCAAGTCTAATGTTGGTAAAGTATGGTTAAGAATTTTTATTAGTTAAGCAAGAATAAGAAACAAAATTAAGCTAATTTCTTTATAATTTTGTGCAGTAATAAAAGTACTAGACACTGGGCTTGGGCACGGTGTCATACGCTTATATCCCAGCAGTCCAGGAGGCTGGGCAAGAGAATGGAGTCTGAGCCCCGCCTGGATAACATAATAAATCAGTGCGACCCCACCTCAGACTGAAAAGCGCTGGGGAGGCAGCTCAGTACTAAGGCCCTGGGATACAAAAGCAACCAAGTAACAGGATTAAAAAACTAGAAAATTTCAAGCCCTTTCTTCACATTTGCACACATTATCAGAGTTGGGCCTTCCCCTGGGAGCTGCCTCCTGACCATCCTATGCTGCGGCCCTCGCAGCCTAACGCCCTCTGTGCTCCTCTAGCCCTGGCTCCAAGGACCTGCAGGACCCCAGCCAGCAGTGCTGGGACACAGCAGGCAACCTACAGTTGCAAAACGGTTAAACTGACAAGGGAGAAAGGAAGCAGGGGTTGGAACAGATGAAAGCAAAACAGTAAATTATATTGTCCACACAAGTTTAAGTATCACATTGTTTCTTTTATGTGAGAAACCGAAAGGGTAAATTAGGAGCAAAATCGAAGACAGATATTGGGAAGTACGAAGAACAAGTTAAAATGGGAAGGGGAGCAAGGGAGAGGGCAAAGGAAAGGGAAGGAAGGTAAAAGGAAAAAGAGAATACTGTAGAAGGAAAACATGGAACACAGATTTTATAAATGGGGAGAGGAAGGAATGAAGGGAGGGAAGGGGAATGGGGAAAAAAAATCAAGACATATTATGCACAGGTACAAATTCCCTATATGAATGTGATCAATATGTACGATAATATGTATTAATAAAACATATAAAATTGTCAAGTGTGGTGGCACACATATCCAACGCCAGGACTCAGGAGGATGAGGCAGGAGTATCGCCATGAGTTCAAGGCCAGCCTAAACCTTGTCTCAAAAAAAAAAGGTTAAAAACAAGTAAAATGATATTGTATGTGTATGGGGGGGTATGTAACCAATGTGTGAACTGTGGCTTCTACTATACAGTACTGAGATATCTGTACTTTGTAAGTTTCTGCATTTTAAAAATACTTTATAATATTAAAGTACCCTACAGTCAGAAAAACATACTAAGTAAATATTACTTTAAAAATTGGGCTCCCAAACCCTTTAACTCTGGCAATTACCATCTCTGAGTTCCTCCAAGTGCAGCTTAGGTTAGTAAACACAGTTAACGTCTGGCACATAGATGGCCCCAGTGTGAGAACAGAATTTTTAACAATTTCTCTCAGCTAAGTTCATTAACCTTACAGGGGAATACAGTCTCCACCAAGAAAGCATATAAATACCAATGTCTAGTTGGTGTTCCCTAAGGCATAATGGAGTGTTAAAAGGGACAGCACAAACAGTTCACTACCTTTCAGAGTACAGCAGACCTATTCGTGAAAGGCAATACCGAGTCATAAATTCAGACTCCTGGATTCCAGTGGAGGAGACGAAGGTCCAGGGCGGTAGTATGATCTGACCAAGGTCACAGAGCGAAGCTGGTGACTGAATTAGGGAAACAGCTCAGGCCTAGATCTGTTACACTCCCAGCCCTCAAAGCAATTATCTTCTAAGTCATGCTTCACTGTTTATCCTAGCTGCACACAAAGAAGTGGGAAAACTACTTTTCTTTAAAAGTATTAATTTTTATATGGTGCTAGCTAAAAATATAAAAAATTCTAAATGAGTTGTCCAACAGAATAACCCTAAAATTTTAACCTAGAAAAATCCTAGGAAGTTATTTTAGAGCTCGGTTACTCAAAAGAATCCAGGCCCAGAGAAGGCAAATTGTATCTCCTAAAACCATAAGGCTGAGATCCAGGTCACCTAAAAACGGAAAGCTATTCATTTCAGTAGTGCCTCATTCTTCTTTGGGTACTGATTACAACCAAATAAAGCAAAAATGTCCAATCACATCTAGTTTAGATATAGTGAAACTGTCAATAATAAAAATACTGGGAGAATGGGTCAATTTCAGTTCTCTAGTTAATAAAAAGCTAACAGCATGACTGCTTGTTTACATTTTGAAGCAAGCACCTCCAGTGTCTCAGGCCAAGCAATGTAACTACATTCTACTACTTGTAATTCTGTAGACCAGCAGCCAGTATTCTGTCCAGCCTAACACCTGAGAATGGTTCTTACATTTTTAAAACACTGCAAAAAATATGAAGGAGACTGTTCTGATAGAAACTCTTCTTGTCTGAAGTTGAAATTATTTACTAGTAACTCACCCTTATGACATACACATATTTTGCTTGACCTCCAGTGCATATTCAGAAAATACATGAAAACTGGGCTGGACATGTAAACTCTAGTAACCACTGGTTTATTTAAGCTTGTAATTTGACTTCCTCCTGGTATTAGATGGGGAGGACTAGTCTGTGGGTAACAATTACCAGGTCCAGTTAAATGAGATTTTATCACATACAAATGTAAGTGGGCATACAGTTGGATCTAATTACAGTATGTCTATGAAATCCATAGAATATTTCAGATAGCTTATAATAAAATGACAGCAAATATTTATGATCAAAAATTGGTACTTTCTTTCCTTTAGGTCTCTTCTCTACCAAAAATAGTCTCACATCTCTCCTGGCCCTTTATAGCATGTTGTTAGATTTATTAATCAGTAGTTCTCAATCATGTTAATTATCTCAGTGACCACTCATCCATATCTTATTTGCAATCCCAAGTAACAACAGATACACAAATCTTACCAGAACACATGAAAGTACTTCTAATGAGATGTGAGACAATGAAATAGGAAAAAATAAATCACAAATCTGGGCGTAAGTAAAAATTAAATATTCCACTTATCAATCTGAATAGAACAATAGAGCAGACCGCCTGTGTGCGTTTTCATAGTTTACTACATTATTCAATGAAAGACAGGAAGACTGGTGGGCCCTGGTTTCCGCAAACACTGCTGACCACGACATGAGGACAAGCCCAGCTGAGCGTGGGGGTGCATGCTGGAAATGTCAGCATTCTGAGAGACAGAGGCAAGATCGCAAGCTCCGGTCCAGCCTGGGCAACTTGGTTTAGTTCTGCTACTAGTAAACTAGCATCATTTCAATGTCCAAACTTGAAAGCAAGATCTATCAGGTCAAGATTAAAATGCCTTACTTTAAAATAAAATAATTACACTAACAATTCCTTTGTACAGTTCTCTCCATCCTCTTGCTTGCTTTTGTAACTGGAAAGGAACAAATTTTCTATTTGAGTCAAAAATTCCTCAGCAATGAAGCAACTGGTTACTTTGGTCAGAGTTTTCCTCAGACACTCCAAAAGCTAGGAGGAAAAAAAAAAGAAAAAAAAATTTCATATTTAAATACAAAGAAAAATTTAAGAGGGTTCGTATAACTATCACTATTTTATCCCTTTCCAAACTTCACATTTCTTAATAACCCAATGATAACATCCTCTGTAAATGTGTTTGAAGATGGACTTGTGAGCAATAAACACAGGGCAGACTACGGCAAACCACTGTTAGAGAAATACTCAGCTTAGTTCCTTTACAATTTAAATTTTACCTAAGGAGACAAACCTGGGTGGCATATACGATGTTTTCTATTCTGGACAGATCTGTGACTCTGCTCCTTTCTTAGTAGTTATAGAGCAGATTAATTTTTGGGGTTAATTAAAATCTTGGGGATGGGGATATAATACAGTATCTGATTCATGTACAAAGCCTGGGTTTGAGGCCCTCATGTAGAAAAAAAAGCAAAGAGCTATCTATGTACATAAAAATTTAAGACTCTACCATTTCAAAATTAGGATGCTAGCTATGGTCTTTTTTCTACTAATGCAAAGCAGTCCTTGAATAGGACACAAAAAACAGAAAAGAGTAAAAATAGTGAAAAGGTACATAATACATTTATATTTTCCAAACTGCTTAAAAAAAAAAAAACATAAAAGGACAGATTTGCCCATCTAAGTTTAACTCATTATAGAACCGCAATAGAAGAATTACAAGCTCTTCATTCCTATCAGAATTAAATAAAATGGCTACTTAAATTTAATTGTTACATTTACAATGTCATTCTTAAAAGTGATCAATTGTTAAGGCCAAAAGGGAAACATTTCGCTTTTGAATTTAATGAGAAAAAATATTCTCCACTGTGCACAATAATCTGCTAAGAAATTTACCAGTCAACACTGACAAATTTGTTCTAATATAGTATTTTTCTATCTGAAGCTTTGGCAAGGAAACATATTTCCAATTATCTCCCAGAAATTAATTTTAGAAACAAAAAAGCAATAAAAGAGCTACACAGAAAGTGTGTCCACAAAGCATTAGGCATCATGACAGAACACACAGCGATGAACAGTTCTGGAATCTGTGAACAATGGCACCAGTTAAAATGAAGGCAGCTTACTTTCTGCAAACAAGTCAGGTCGGAATCCCGGTGAAACATTTTATCCATGGGGACACTGCTGCAGGAAGAAAACAGACTGATGGAACAAATACTGTAAAGTAATCAGTTGTGTAATAAACTATCACTGACACCATACATCACAATTTTATATTTAACTTGGGTTTTCTCCGAAACATAATTTAATGAGAAACACTGCAGATGTGCAACCATCTCAAACTGCAGTACGTACCTATGGGAGAGCCTGTATTTTTCTATTATCCATCTTGTCTTTTCAAACACTAATCCCCACTGAGGTTCTTCTAACATCTGTTGTACTTCAAATTTGTAAGGTAAACCTAGAAAAGCATAAAGAAGCACATTTTCATCAGCTATTTCTTAAATCTCAAATCTCCTTTTAATTACTTAAAATTCCCTTCAGTGTTTTTAAAACCACAGCTTGGCAGACCAGTTGAGCAGCACTTTAAATGTAGTGAGTATTCATTAAATATTTATTGCCTGGCTGTACTTGCTTCACCAAGCATACTAATGCCCACCTATTAATAATCATGAGGAGAGGTAAAAATGCCACTTTTGTGACAATTCTATGCAAGGTACTGGGGGAAGTAGGATGATCATATAATTTCTCACCCAAACTAAGATACTTTTTGAATGAAAAGTATTTTGAATGAAAAGCACTATTAATAACTATTGCAGAGCTACAGGTTTAAGTTAGGACTGCATCCTAGTGACATTTTTAAAAATACAGGTTATTAAGCTTACAAAACAATGCTATCATGAAGGTAGCTGTCATGACCCCCAAGAGCCTCATGTTCTCATAGACAGAGCTTCTGGAAGAGGATCAGCGACAGTTAGCTGCTGATAGAGGAGGCAGGGCCTGCTTGGAAGAGGCAGGTCACCGGGTGGGTGTGGGTGTGGGTGTGGGTGTGGGTGTGGGTGTGTGTGTGTGTGTGTGTGTGTGTGTCCTGGAGCGTGTCTCTCCCTCTGTGGTTCCTTCTGTTTTTCCTCTGCTGTGCCCCTCTGCCATGCAGCCCTGCCTTGGAGCCAGTGGACTGTGGACTGAAAACGAACCAAAACAAATCTCTCTCCTTTAACTTGAAGGTGTTGGGTATTCTGCCCCAGGAACAGATAAAGTGATTAAGAAACATTATTTCTACTTTTATAGATGAAAAAACTAAAGCTGAGAGAGATTAAATAGCATGTTCAGGCTGGCAAAATGAAGAGCCTGGATTTTAAACACTAGCTGGTCTGCCTCACTTCTGAGCCCACACTCCTTTCCTCTCTGTGCAAGTCTAAGACTAGAGAGCAACAGGACAAATTCTAGGGAGGCAGCAACTGCACCTGAATCAAAGTGCTCAAGCTGAACACTGGAGAAAAGGAAAACAAAGGGTGGACACCATGGGTGCTGCTACAAGGGGAGGCTACCACCAGGTAAGCCAATTTGGCAGTCTCTCACACAGCCTCTAACACTCCGGTATAAATGCATCTGTGGTGCATCAAAGGCTCAACTGAGTTACCACCAAAGGCCAGCATCATCACGGAGCAACAGGCCGTGTGTCCATGTGCCGGGCACCTGGTGCCTTATGTAAATGAAGTCATTGAAATAAAGTAGCTACCATTACTGACTGCCTCCATGTTTTTGAAGGACAAGGAGCCATGGAAAATTACAACTGTTCATGGTCAAACATACAAAGAAGGACTTCAAGCCCGAGGTAGTTCAACTTGAGGGTTTTTGTTTTGTTTTTAAAGTACTGGAGATTGAACCCAGGCCCTTTACACTGAGCTATATCTTCAGCCCTTTTCCACTTTTTACTTTGAGACAGATTAATGTAAAGTTGTCCAGCTAAGTTGTCATCCTCCTGCCTCAGCCTTCTAGACTTCTGGGATTACACAGAATGTGTATTTTCAATTTTTCCATCACACTGTCTCTCAATTAGTTTTTTGAAAAATTAAGGCTTTTCAAGTAATTCAAATGTCAGCAAATCAGAAGGCATGGAAATATCAAGGGCAAATACAATGAACATACTTGTTCACAATAAAACATATTTATCAATATGCTCTGATATATGAAATACCGTATGCTTTATTTTTTCAGGTGTCTGGGAGGAAGCAAGGGGACAGCAGCCTGATGATGACTGATCTTTTTTTCCCTCTGTCTTTTCTCTGGCTCTAATTTCTCAATTCTCTTCTGCTCCACTTTATTTCTCGCAACCGGAAATTTGAGAATGACACATAGTACATAAGCTATTACGCAAACTTCACTGGATGAGAACAGTAACTTACTTACCTAACAAGCTCTGAAAACTCACTTGCTAACTTTCGCATACATTACCCATAATACTTATAACTACCTGCCTTATAAGCAAAGTAATATTTTTTTCGTTTTACAGAAATAACAAGAGAGGTTAAGTAACCTGTCCAAGGTAAAATAATTAATAAATGCTACAGTTGGGATCCTAATATAGCTGAATGATCTCTACTCTTAATGTGAGTTGAAATGAGAATAATGTGAAATAATTAATGTGCTTTTAACCTGGGCTGAAGAGCACTCACACATTTATACTAAATGCAGCCCTATGTGGTATTATTAAAGTTTTTTGCTGTTTAAAAATGGCAGTAAAGTGAAAGTTTCCTTTTGTGCAGAATATTTTTATCTACTAAAATACTGAAAATAATATTTTTTGACTGGTACAAGTATAGAAAACAGCCATCAGAAACATTTTAAGGATAGCTGCTCAGTTACAGATACTGTAAAACCCAAGGTATCCTATGACAGCTGGAGAAGCCCTGCCCTTGCACCGGTTTTCCAGGAGATACAAAGCAAGAGGTCAAAGACTAAGCTCTAATACTGAACACAGTGCGGAAGATGGACAGGTCACTGAGGAGGCTGCCCTGCCCAATGCAGCCATCTGAATAATAGACTGCTGAGTGCCTGTGTGCTACACAATGCGGGATTGTTCTATGCAGCAGCTCCTTCCCCTGCCTGTGCTGGCTTCTTCATCCACACTAAACGCTAGAAAAGCACCTTCTACGCTATCTCGTCACTCTCAACTTCCTCTTTGTTCTGTGGAACTTGGCTCCTGGATCTGTCTGAGCTCTGGGTGGGTGTCTCTTCCTTTTGCCGTACCTGGGAAGTCTTCCAAGTCAATGAGCAAGGGTTAATTTGAAACTGAATGCATTTGTTTCCCATCTCTTAGCAATCATCTTCCTTTACTGCCTCAAGCTGTATCCTAAATAACATTGCTCTATATATTTTTGCCTAGTGTTTTCAGAATCTTGTTACTTCATTTGGGCCAGAAGTGGAATTACACACCCTGAATATTAAACCTCACTTAATTCTAATGAATTTAACTTAAACAGTCACGTGTAACTAGTATCTACAGTTATTAGCATCAGAATAAAAGCCCATGACTCAAATCTAGCAGACTGTAAGAAATGATTTACATTGAGAAGTTAATTGCAATTCTTCCTCTTATATAGTTTATAAAATTACACTGAACCAGAGTGGTGCATATCAGGTACCATGCTCAAATGAGCATGCTAGACTAAAGCTAGCCTGCATTCTTCATTCAACAGAAGCCACAGTGGTGACCTCCATCAAACAAGGCAATTAATTAGGTGCTACTGGGGGCAAAGACAAAACACAGTTCGTGCTCTTTGGGTACTCAATTTAACAAGATTTCAATGAACAGATAAATTACAGACAAAGACAAAAGTGACCACAAAGGCAGGGAAAGTGTTGCAGACACACAAATAGAGTGACTAACAGTAAATGACATGGAGGCAGTGCTGGGAAGTCCTTAGCAAATTCAGGAAATCTAAATGAGATGATTAAGAATGACAAATTATTAAATAATTATTCATTTTGTACTCTGCATGCCAAGCTTTATACTAGAAACAGGACAGAAAAGTGAGTAAAATACAGTAGTAGTCACAAAGATCTTACGACTAAAGAGAGGAAGACGGCAATGTGGCAACTGCAGTGCCGGCGTCTAGAGAAAACCCTGACTTGGTGATGGATAACAGAGAAGAGAGAATAAACATCTGAGAGAGGCCAACCGCTCCTCTGACCATTTCCTCTGTCCATATCCCCTTTCCTTTTCCTACTCTGCTGTACTAAATCTCAAATCCATGAACTCTAAACCGCAGAGGAACCAAGCTGTATGATGAGCTACACCAACCAAATTCTTTCTTAAGACAGAAAGGAAATTAACCAGATATAAAAAGAGTTCATCACTGATGAGCCTAATATCAGGGGAGATGAGAGCTGGGGTCGGTGTATTCCCTTCACATGCTATCACAGAAAAGGCCAGTCTATATTTACAACAGTATTTTCATGAGCGCAGGGTCTCTGTTCTTTTAACTACAGTACCTCCAGACACAGCATCATTCTGCTTGTCCACTCTTTTCTCCCTCTTTTAGTCAGTCACAGTGGCCATGGTGGGGCCCCTTATACTGGACAGCACATGAACAGGCAATGGAAAAACTTTTCCATTAGTTTCTCATCGTTGTAAATACTTTGATTTGCAAGACTCAAAGAAGTAAGGGTAGATACAGGAGGGAGTTGTTACTGCTGAAAACTTACGGTAGGAGCCATGTGAGCTGATTTCCTCACTGATGACCAGGCAGGTAATCTGGGAATATGGCAAAGGATTGTTTCGATTATAGGGACTAATAATCATCCCAATGAACTTTGCACCTCTTCTTGAGAAGTAACTCTACAATGACAAGAAAAGCTTTATTAATGTCAATTATGTAAGTTTAAAAATCAGTATTTATTCATACCAACATTCTATATATCTAATGGGGGGTAAAGGGAACAAAAAAGTACATAAAAACCTTCATATCCAAACAGCTACTAAATGATATATCCTATGTATTCATTTTATACTGTAAAAATTTTAGGCCAAAATGTGTCCAACCCAATGTGAAATGACCCTTACCCACTGGCATCTTGGTGTGATGCGCATGCCTGTCATCCCAGCACTTAGAAGGCTGAGACAGGAGAATTTCAAGTTCAGTCCCACCTGGGCAACTTAAGAGAAACCCTGTCTCAAAACAAAAAAATAAAAAAAGATTTGGCTCTGGGTTTAATCCCTAGTACCACAAACAAATATGTGGCCTATAAAACCCACATATGCCATAAATATATTTACTAATTATACTACTTTTCAGCCTGTATTCCTAATGCATGAATAATTTCTAAACAGCTGCCTACAACAAAAACATGCATGAAAGATAAAACAATAAAACAAAGCTGTTTTTCAGAGGAGCAAAATATATTAATGTTTCCAATTATTTCAATTATATTCAGTCCCCATCCTAGCTGTTCCTATTAATTTTTAAAAGCACTTTAAAAAAAAAAAAACACTTATCAGGGTTACTTTATGGCTTTTCTAGAGTAAACAAAATTGCTGATTTTCCAAATGCTTGTACAAAAGATATGCAGGGAGAAGGGAACAGAAAGAAGTGAAAGGAGTAATGATGTGGCATATACATGTACCACACCCCATGATGAATGTAATCATTATGTACTACAAGCATGGAATAAAAATTCTAAAAATTAAAAAAAGAAAAACCGTAGTTACTTAAAAACCTCAGATATAAAGAATATTAGAAATGCAGAGCTAAAAACATTAAAAGCTTTATTAACAGAAAATGGTGTCTTTGTAATCATTTAGAAAATATAAGCCAGGCACGGTGGCGCACATCTGTAATCCCAGCACTCGGGAGGCTGAGGCAGAAGGATGGCTGTGAGTTTGAGAACAGCCTGGGCTACATACTGGGTTCCAGGTGAGTTTCAACTACATAGTGAGA